CAGTCATCAGTATCAATTTTTCAAGACATTTTAAATGCCTAGACGTGCATACCATTCCAAAGCTATGCAAAATTTTTGGGGGGTTTTTAAAGCAACTATGTTTCTGCTGATTTTGCACACACGAAAACTGTCTCTTGTGACGCACTTTAGCTCAAACATGTCTAGCTTTTATAAGAGCTATCAGTGATGGTTACAGCATGCCAGATTAATTACATCTGAGCATGTTTCACAATAATTAGCGCATGCTACACTGCCATCCCGAAGGCCATGCAAGATTGTTGCATTTGCTCTATTTCTTAAATCCAGTGTTTCAGGAAGGACTTAGAGAAAGCCACATGCTTATGCATTGGTTACACTCGGTACAATCGAATTGCACCTAAACAAACACTGGAGCTAAGGAGTACAGTATAACCTCGTTACAACAGACCTTCATACTGTGAGGATTTTAGTCTGTTGTGAAGGGAGTATATTAAATCCATGTACTGTTACAACAGACTTTTATGTAAATGCGTAAAACGTCTGTTACAACAAGAAAGAATTGCCAGTCACAAACACAACACGGTTGACTTTTGAAAAAAGCTAGTCAGCTTTGCCTGCACTGTGTGGTGGACAGCTTTAGAAACTATATGCGCCTCTATTGTCACAAGTGTGTTCACATCATCTGCACTTGTGGCCTGTTGTGTTAAATAGTTTTTCAGTCCTTGAATATAGTCCAGGGCTTGAGAAATTGACACTTTCTCGGTTACAGTCTCTGAGGTGCCGTCTTCATTTTCGTCTTCATCATGCTGCTCTGCATTTGGCACACTGCGAATTTGGGCAACAATTTCTTCACCTGCCAGCTGCTCCGAGCTGACAAGGTCATCATCCACAGCTACATAATCGGAAAACTGCTGGCTCCCAAAGGCCTCCTCGACAGCTGACCAGACACTGGGATCTGGTTGGCCTTCCAGTGGCAAGGAGTCTGTGCAGTCACTGTCACCAATGAAAAAAACCAGCTTTTCTAAAGCAATTCTGTATTATTGCTGGCTTAATCTGTGCCTACATCGTTGAAAGTACTTGCACAGCAAATCTGAGGTCTATGACCAAGTCTCGCTTTTGCTGCATGTAAAAAAGTAAATGCTCAGTGAGGCGTGAGCGATACCTTCACTTCACTGAGTACACAATGCCTTGATCAATAGGCTGCACCTTTGATGTTGTGTTAGGTGGGAAGGGTGGGAAGTATGTGACCGTAGCTGCATGTAGCTGGGGAAGGTGCATGTGGCTCGAGCAATTGTCGAGGAAAAGTAACACATTCCTCTTTTGTTGCTACATCTTGTTGTCGAAGTTGAGCAACCATCGGTCGAAAATATCCTTGGTCATCCAGGCACTTTTGTTCGAATCCCAGTCCACGGGAACGTGCTTGTGGCATCTGCGCCGCGATCTTTTCGACTTGCCTATAACCAAGAGTTTGGTCTTTTTGCTCCCATCCATATTGCAGCAAAAAAGAACGCTAATGCGCCCCTTCGACTTCTTGCCACCATGGCACGCGTCTGTGGCAAAACAAAAAGTCTTCCTTGGCTTTAACTCATTAAAAAAAAAAAAGCCGCTCCCATCGGCATAGAACACATCCTGTAATGCATAGCCTTTCAGGTGAGCGGGAAAAACATTGAATTTCCAGCTGGCAACAACAGTGTCGTCGCCGCTGGCCGACTCTCTGGATAAACACTTAAAAGCAATTCCAAGCCTCGATTTAAAATGCTTGAGCCAACCTTCACTGCACTGAAACTGTTCTTGATTAAGAACAAACGCAAGTTGCTCTGCGCGTTTTCGTAGGAGCAGTCCGTTCACGGGGATATTTCGCATACGGGAGTCATGAAGCTACATAAGCAGGGCCTCTTCGACGTCAGGATATGAAGCTTCATGGAGCCGAAACCTCTTGGGTTGTAAGTTACCCGATACTTTCTTCAACAAGATCGTTACTTTGGCGTTGACAATGGTGTTGACCGTCTGCTTCGACAAGCCGTACACCACGGCAACGTCCACTTGCTTTTTTTCCTTCTCTACCTACTCATATGAAGCTTCACAGAGCCGAAACCTCTTGGGTTGTAAGTTACCTGATACTTTCTTCAACAAGATCGCTGCTTTGGCGTTGACAATGGTGTTGACAATCTGCTTCGACAAGCCGTACGCCATGGCGACGTCCACTTGCTTTTTTCCCTTCTCAACCAACTCAATGATATTAAGTTTGTCTTTTAGGCTATCTGCTTACACTTCGCTTGCAATGGCTTACGACGCGTGGCATTGGCTGATGTGTTTGGCTCCACAGGCTTCATCACACCATGATCACATCCACAACGAACCAATGTACACAATACACGAGGAGTGGACTAGACAAAACGTCGAAACAGCCCCTGCCGAACAAAGCACCCGCTGTCAGCGCCATCGCGAACGTAACTTCTATTCTGATTGGGGCCGCTACCAAGTGAGCGCTTTCTATCAACTTTTTTTTTTACTTTGGCAAAAATATGCCATTCCTAAGGACGTATCGCTTTAATGGTTTTTTCCTTTTTTGAGTCGATAAGCAGACTGTTTTTTGCTTTGATAACACTGTAATCATTAAAAATTATGCATTGATTTTCATACGATGCATTAACGATTAGTCGTAGTAAGCTTCGTTAGCCGGGTCAATCCAAGCCAAGCGCAGCCGTCTCAAAAGGGCCGCCACCTGTGTTGACACCGTAGGAACATTGCTCCCGTCCTGGAAGTATGCCAAGCGATGTCAAAAGTCCGCTGTGAAAGAGTGCTGACTACTTTTCAGACCTCTTATTTTGGTCAATTACCGTATTTACTTGCGTAATCCTCGCACCCCCCCCCATCCCCCAACAAAAATACGATATTTTTCCTCGAGTAATTATTGCATTCCCAAAAACTGCTGCAATAATGTCGTCTGCTCATTCCAGCCATTGATGATGATAGCGTGCGCTATCTGGCACCATCTCTTAAGCATCAAGCGTACTATTATTGCATGAAGATTCAATCCAATCCAAGCCAAAGCGACAAGTGTGCGTTGCGGCACGTTTTGTATGTTGTGTCCGTAATCTTGTCACGTTATGAGGTGATAGTGAAGCTACACGGATGCTTTCAAGTTCAAAGTGATTGATCATGCTCTAAAGAACAATGGTAACAGGGCCTCCGGTAGGCATGACGATAGTTATAGCGCGAGAACAAAATGACGACACAGAGACAAGAAGGACACGAAAGACACGGACACGAAAGACACGAGCGCTCGTGTCTTTCGTGTCCTTCTTGTCCCTGTGTCGTCGTTTTGTTCTCGCGCTATGACTATCGTCCTGCCATACTAACTAGCCCAAGCTGCCACACTCCGGTAGGCCCTTCGGAGTCGACGAGTTTTGTGTTCGCTACTGGTGATGGCAGTTAAAAGCCATCAAGACGCGTTGGGCCTGCCGAGTGCCTAAGACTGGGATTGATGGTAAACTTTATTTCTTTAGAAGGAAACTGTGGACGATTCTGTTAAGTAGCCATCAGCCCAATACTGACATCTGAAACTTACCTTTTGGGGGGCTTCTGTTGCGTGACGAACGCTACCCCTACGCCCGCAACGCCCATAAGCTTTGTGTAAGTATTCTAATTCTCGACTATTTGCTTGCACTTTTTGTGTTTCAAATAAATCTTGCCTTGTGTCGAACCTCTGCTTTTATTGTTGAGGTAAATTTTATTAGTTATTCTCAAAGCTTTCTGTGAGTTGCTGGTTTGAGAATCCCGATTTGCGGCCACTTCGCTTTCTTTTTCGCTCTGCACGTTTTCGTGGAAATTTTTCGCCACATAATTCTCGCGCCCCCCAATTTTACATCGATTTTCAGAAAAAAAAAAAAGTGCGAGGATTATGCGAGTAAATATGGTATATCCGAATGCCTGTTGTACCTGGATTTATTGTAAACAAGTTTCGATCAATGGTACAGATAAGGAGATCAACATAAAGCTGCAACTGAGTATGTAGTATCCGAATGTCTATTGTAAGCAGATCTGTTGTAACGAGGTTACACTGTACGGACACCATTTTCCAGAGGTGAGCTTACTCTGCCATATACATCTACTGAGACGGCTATGAGCAAGCATGAAGCTCGACAAACGCTGACAAGATACTTGATTTTGATAATAAAGTAATTCTCCTATGGCCGACATCGGCACTAGCTTGATGTCAGGCTACAGCACTTATTCTGGTGACTTCATGCAGCAGCTCAGCTATTGTAAAATGCCGACAAAGCGCCCCTGCCCGAGCAAGCGCCCCCCTCCGAAATCTGGCCAGACTATCCTTCACTGCAGGGGTGCACTTGCTCATTGCTCAGCATCTTACGGTAGTGACGACTTCAGGTGCCAAAACTGCCAAAATGGCCACTTCTACATCATAAATGGAGCTGAACTGCTCTGGAAACGTCAGAACATCTTGTACGAGCATGCGACGAGCTCATGCCACATCGCGACGTCAGCGTACAGTATGAACCGAAACTAGCTTTTAAAAACTTACTGTAATTACTTTTTTACTCATGGTTAGCAGTACATTTTCTAGGCTCTTGAAGGCTTGACCTTACAATTGATTGAGATAAACAACTAAGCACTTTCATGTGAGTAACCCTGTAGGTTTGATGCCATAACCTACGCAGCAGCTTGTCGTAGGCATGCGGTTCTCTGTGTTACATGCAGCTCTGAAACTGTACCAGCTATGCATTATTGGTTTCATATTTATAGTGCATGCCATAGACAAATAAAACTTGGAAGTGTGAAGAAAAATGTCATCAGGCACAAGAACAAGTGAAATATATAACTCTCACTCATGCAAAAGAAAAATATATGAGCATATTATGGAGAATAAGGGCACCGCACAACCAATGTCAAGCGAACTACTTCAGCATACCTTCATGTTCATTTTGCTATGTAACTACCCCCTGAATTTACTCAAATATCCCATCAGTAAATAAAATTACATAAGTGAATGACAGTACCTCTGTTCTTGTACTGTTGCTTGAATTTCACACACTCTGACCAGAGAGCGGGCCATTTTGAGCTCAGCCGAAACTCGTGTGCAGTTTAAACTTCCTAAGCTGTGTGCTTCTTCGCTGTACCGGTTCGCCTGCAAAAAGAGTTCATAAGTGTGGGCACCAACACACACTTACCACTAGTTTCAAGGGTAGATACAACAACTTTGGATTTAGAGCATTCACACATCATTTTTTTCTAAAACTGCTTACACCACAAGCCTCTTAAGTTTGCCTAATTTTTCTACTTTACAGGTTGGCTGATCCCTTACTTGCTATTGATGACTACAGGCACTATGCAACACATTATTTTGAAAAACAAGGAGTGCCATACATGTGCCATACTTATGAAAGATAACATTTCACAAAACATTGAAATACACATAATACTATAGAGAAGGATGTGTTTCACAGAAAAGCCATTGAAAGACAGTACATCATATGTCCCGACGAGTTACAAAAAATATACAGAAGTTTAGCTCTATCATTAGGGAGCTCACACAGGTGCTGCGAAATTTTCTTCCTCTGCCTGCAACACATTACTGCCAGACTATATACAGCATCCTGGGTTTGCTGACAACCTGCCTGTTAGAGATGAGCTTCACCTCAGTGCGTCTGTATCGTAAATCAAACTTTTTTTCCCAAGGCATTTATGGAGCAGGACAGCCTCTCAAAATGCACACTTGTGCTTATAACATGTTTTATTGAATACGCATCCATTTAACCATCGATAACTTGACGCAACAAGGAAAGGTGAAGTCACTGGCAAGTGTGCATAGTTCAGTGAGCTTGCCCCCTCTCAAAACAAAGAAATTTGAAAAAGCACTCCCACAATGATGAAAGTTTCATGTAGTGATCCACATTTTTTTCAGCAATTAAACTAGTTAGGAACCCACAAGTTTGGAAATTCACTCGTCAAGTTATGCACATAAGTTTTCGCCAACAAGCATCGATGCGACCACTGCTATTTACATTTGGTCGAATAATTATGATAGCAACAAGACTTTTCGCTGAGAACAGTTCTTTGCTAATGTCTCTGCTGGCAACTTTGTTAGCACTGCATGCTGCCCCACATACACACAGAGATCTCCCACGCTTTTCTTACATGCAATGTTGCGTGACCTTTCAGAGAAATGCCTCCTCCAATTAAACAGCATAAGTTTTTGATGCTTCGCTACAGGCGCTGAGCCATGTTCTCAATTAGGGTAGCAGAAGTTGTCTTCTCCTTTCTTCAACATCTCCTCCACAGGAGAAGCCTGTATGAGTTGAGATGATGCGCAAACTAATACTATATGGAAGCTTGCAGTAAACACAAGCATTGTGCCATCGTCAATATGCATCACAACTAAGAGAAGCGCTTTTTTGAATATGCTCCCAAGTTGCCGACAATGACAGAAGCAAAAACAAAGAAAGGAAGGGTAAGGAAACATGGGGCAAGAAAAAAAATCCACATTGCATAAAAGGAGGAATGCCGCAACCATAGCTTGCGCGAAACGAATACCAACGACATAGTGCCACGGTTACGCGAAGAATAGAGACAAAGTTTAAAAGCAACACAGTCTATATAAGGACTATATAACGAATTGTCGTAGGTATATTGCTTATAAATTGGCTGGTGCTTGCATCAGTCAAGCCAATTTAAAAATACTGCTTAATTGTTAAATTCGAGGCTGTGACTTATTAATGTTTGAAGTTTAAAAAAGAGTGCGTGAACGAAAATGTCCTCTATTTTCGGAAAAACACGCAATTCCATTCTCATTCTATTCCGTGTAAAAGGTGCTCAATAGAACTCTAGTGGGGTATGTCACAGTGTGACGTCACCGGTGCACGTGCAAGGTGGTGGTTGGCAAGACATTCCCGCCGGTGGCCGAATGGGGTGCAGTTGCTCGGTGCTTGGGGCAAATTTTTTTTTCTTTTCGAAAGCTTAATCTTCATCTCACAATGGCAACATTAGCTGTGGTATCTGTCAGAGAAAATCTAGGTGTGTCATAAAGTGCGCGATGAAATATTCGCCACGCTGGCTGGCTGTTTATCTTGCAGAAGTGAACACACGTGGCAGCGTTTACGAGGAACAGCGGCATCGCCTTTGAAAATGTGCAGTGTTGACTGTGGCGTGTAGTGTGCGTTGAAAGGCATCGATAATATTGGTACACCTTTAGGGACGGTGAAACTGGCAATATTGTGCGTGGTGTGTGCAGTGTGAATAACGCGATGCGTCCTGTTTGCGAAAACACTGGTATTTGTTGTGGGCCGGTTTACGTGTCCGGTTGTTGATGGAACTTTACGATCTGACATTGTAGTCAAGATAAAAATACAATTGGCGCGATCATCTGCGATTGGGTACATCTCAGCGTATGCGCGGCGTGCAGAAAAATAAAAGTTCATGATCTCCGGGTGATATATACGACTACGCATGAACTATAAGCATGTTCTAGCGTTGCCGAATCTGCATATATGCTTCACCATGGCTATAACTCTAATCATTGAATACCCGATACGTTTTAATAAAAACTGTGGAGATTTTCGTTTCTTATCTACTTTGTACTTTTACGGCTCGATCCTTATGAAGTGACAATGCGCAATAGAAATGTGTCAGGCCTAAAAGATCAATATAAATGTACGAAAGCACGTTATAGGTGTTAAATGCAGCAAGGTAAGTGTGCTAGATGATATTATATATTATTAAGATGTCGGGTTTTACATCACATGAATTTTCACTGGGTTATTGAAAAACGCAGCGGCAGAATGTCACTGATTTTCACGAGGATATGTTAACCTCAGCCTAACCCACGGCAAGAAGTGTTTCTTTTTTTTTTTTATTCATCTCTGATCAGACTTGTGGGCAAGGAGAGAGAATCTAAACCTTGACGTCGCGTACAGCAGCTCACAACCATGCTGCCGCCAATGCTGTACGTCGTTTAAACCTACATTGCACATGCCACGATCCACATCCACATCCATGCCATGCAAATATTTCTCATAGTGCCAGTAACCTTGTACATTCAAAATGTTTGCGTTCGAAAAAGATATTGTTTTTTATGGCTGCCATCTACATGGGTGAAGCCCACTGTGTGCTAGTCGCGTCTCTCAGTACTCTTAACAAAGTTTGTCCATCCATCCAACTATGACGAGCTAATTTCCACACTATGAGTAGTGACCTTTCCGCGACCCCCTTCTTTCAAAAGCTGACTTTAGAACATAGCAATGTAGAAATTTCTGTTGAAGGAATGCAGACACGCAGCTCTGCTATGCAGAAAGATGCCGCCGGAAGAACTTTCTTGCCAACCAGCAGCTGCTCCGAGAGAGGGTATGGAGGGCGGGGTGCCCGCAGTGACGTCACACTGTTTACAAACAGGGAAAGGTCTATTCTATTTCCATTTTTTTACTATAGGCATTGCAGTATCACGGTTCCAGTGTTCCATCTCATTTTAGTGTCAGAAAAATGTGGAATGATTCTGGAATCATTTCAATTCCAAGGTGCAAACTCCGCAACGCTGGTCAGCGTGGCACGAAACTTCCCAGAAATACTGCACATGCTCCAAACTAGTGATCATACTCACAAAGTCATATCATAGCTCTAGCTTAATTGAACACGCAAACTGTTCACTAAGGTAAGAATAATTATATAAAGAAGCAGCTATAACAAGGCCTACAAGAAAAAGTCAGCTGCTCATTGGATTGGATTGGATTGGATAAACTTTTATTTGGTCCTCCAAAACACAGATCACTGTGTTGCGGGCAGCTCCCACGTGGGGACTGAGATGCCAAGCTCCTCAGCCGCCTCGCGGGCTTGGTGGACAGCCCAGAGTTGATCTGCCAAGGACGAGCTGCGGATTGCCGCCTCCCATCTGGCAGAGGTGATGTGCGATAAATGAGCGAATTTGGTGCACTGCCAGAGCATGTGTTCTAATGAAGCTATTTCCCCACAATGTGGACAAAGATTACTTGGGTATAGGTCAGGGTACATGATGTGTAACATTTTCAAAGTAGGGTACATCCGCGTTTGCAAAAGCCTTAATGTAAGTGCTTGGGGCCGGGTTAGATTTTTGTGAGGTGGAGGGAAAATCCTTCTAGACAGGTAGAAATGTTTAGTGAGCTCGTTATATGTTGTAAGAATTTCCCGGTTATCCCCTTCACCGGTAGAACGCATCCCCGGGGAGGCGCGGTTGGAGAGTTCTCGCGCCGCCTCGTGTGCTGCTTCGTTGAGATTGGGAGGGGAATCGTTGATTTGTCCAAGGTGAGCTGGGAACCAACTCAGAAGATGATGTGTTATGTTCTTGCCTTGCAGTATTTTCAGCGTTTGTTCACAGACCGTCCCCTTAGCGAACGCCCGTAGTGCTGCCATGGAATCACTGTAGACCACTTCAATGTTATCCATCTTGAGTGCTAAGGCGATGGCCACTTGTTCCGCAATGATTGGGTCTTTCGTCCTGACCGTCGCTGAGTTGACGACATGGCCAGCCCCATCGACTACCACTGCCACAAACGCTTTCCCATTGGCGTAAGAAGCCGCGTCAACAAATACGACCCCTCGTTCCTCGTTTGAGACTTGACGAAGCATAGTCCTGGCCCTCGCTACTCTTCTTCCGACGTTGTGTTCTGGATGCATGTTTCTCGGTATAGGAGATACCGTGATAGTCTCCCTGATGTTGTCAGGGATATCATTGTAATTGCGTCTGATTGCTATTGGGTGTTGGCCCAGCTCCTGCAGGATCATTCTCCCCGACCTTGTAGTAGATAACCTTGCAAACTGTGCTCTCTCTTGGGCTTCTATTATTTCTACGAGCGTGTTGTGTATGCCAACACGCTCGTATGCTGCTGGTATGTATGGGTAGGCCCAGGACCTTCTTGATAACTTTCCTGAGGAGCACATTCAGTGTCTCGGACTCTGCTCTTGACCAGTTGTGCATTGCTGCCTTGTATGTGAAGTGACTTAGAACAAACGCATGCATCAACCTGATGAGGTTGTCTTCCTTGATTCCATTTCTTTTGTTGGCCACTCTGCGTATGAGGTGCACCGCACTGTCTGTTTTCCGAGTTAACTTGGCTATAGATTTGCTGTTGGCGCCGGTAGACTCTATCAGCATTCCCAGGA